ACCTATATGCTAAAAAAATTGCTTTTTCGAAACTTTGTTGCCGCCGGGCACATAGTGTTTTACAAGCGCACCTTGTTTTTTTTTTTTTTGCCCATCCCTGTTGTTGCTAATGCTATTACATAATTAGTTTAAATTAGGCCAAAATAAAAAATAGTCTTGTTTCCTGCTACCCGACCTACCCTATTTTTTTGCACCCGACTCTAAAGTTTTTTTTAGCTTTTGGGGAAAAAATTCTAAATTTTAGAAATTTCATGTTTCAAAAGTGAAAAAAATTATATATTCTCAAGTTGTATTTCATGAAATATATGTTTAAAATATGGACTTTCGTAAAATTCCACTTGAGTTGTGCATCAAAAGACATGGAATTTCACTTTTAAAGATGATATTGACCTTAGCTATCTAAGCTATGACATGTTCAATTTGGTTTTGTAGTAGTTCATATCCAAAAAAATACTGTTGGAAAGAATAAAATAAAATTAAAAAATAAAATAATTTTCCTACCTACCTACCCTATTTTTTTCTGGCTGGTAGCAGGAAACAAGACTATTATTTTTTTTGGCCTTAGAATGCAATAGTACCTTAACATAATTTATCATTTCAGAGAGAAGAAAACTGCATGACTTTAAAAGAAAACCAGTGAGATAAAATCATATAAAATGTATGATGATTCAGGATGTGGTCATTTGGTAAGTGGTAATTAAATCATGATTGGTATGTACATGTATAACAATTGCCTGAAAAAAAAATGATTCTAAATTTTAAATTCTGAGCTGTGGTTTATCAGCTGTGAGCTACAAGAAGTTTTATGTAAAAGCTACGGCTGAAACAATTTGCCCCCCTCCATGTTATGTATGTATTGTCGTGATTGACATACAATCGGTTCTCTAATACATACACTACAGTAAAACTTTGTCATCTCGAACCTGAATTGAAGAGGAAAAAACTTTGAGATCTCTCAAAAAATTTGAATGAAAAAGAGGAAATGTTATTTACTTATTTCTTGCTGGTCAGTATTTTGATGACTTTAAGGAAGCTCTAAAAACTGCACACTAAAGAGCTCTACTTTGATATTGGGTAGTTTTATGCAGTTAGAGTGATCTGCCCTTAGATTGAGATTAAGAAAAATTTTATTTTACAGTCAGTTGGATTACTTGTAAGAGATTAAATTATTTTTAGCATTATCTAAAATCAAAAATAAAGAAATTATTTGATTATTTTCATAAATTTTCCAAATGCATTAAGTAAACAGCAATGATTTCTGCTCACAAATAGTCCATTGTCTTTGAAAATTTCTTGGGGAAATGATGCACATACTATATGTTCTACATGAATAAAAAAGGCTCATTATGCACATCTTTATATGATAGAATTTTTCTTTCCAAAGATTAATTTCTGTAAGTCTGACACTAAGTTTTTAGAGTTTCCTCAATTTTTTAGATACATGTATTCAATGAAATTATTTGAAGTATTAAATTTTGGTAAATTTTATGATAGTAAAAGGTTATGTGGTTGAAAACAGACCTGGGGTAATGGTAATGTGTAATGGTAATGCATTGTAATCATTACATTTTTTCAAAGTAATGGGGTGCAATGTGTAATGGATCCATCTTTCAATTACAAGCAATTGTAATTTATAGTTTGGTTGAAAATACTTAAAAAAAACAGCATGCATGCATGACAATAGGGCTTAAATTTTTAATGTCTCTTAATTTTTCAGTGACATTAAAACAGGAATTGTCATCACCAATAAGACAAATTTCACATTGCTAAGAGTTGTCTCCAATTGTCGGTGTATCGCTCATTTTTCTCACTTTGTCCTTTGTAAGTTACTTGTATTTTTTCAATCTTCAAACGATATTGGACAATTATGATCTGTATCTGTATGGCCAGAGTATGGGGTAACATGAAAATCATAATGAACATGTTCATACAGATTTCACTTCCAAGGTATTGACCCTCAAAGTTGGTATGGTTATATAGAGGGATAACAGCGTCTTAAGCCGATTGACCCCAGATTGACCCTGCAAAGGGGAATAACTTTTGTAAATGTGAAAGTTGTCTATGGTATATCATAGAGATCTAAAACTGACTGAATTTTGATCCACCAATTCATGAACATGATGAGTGGATGTAAATAATGTTGGTCAATTTTTGTAAAAAAAAAAATTGAAATTACTTGTTTATAAACCGAGTGTACATGCAATACTGGCATAAAATTACTCATAATATACATGTATACTTACACCATGATAAAAGCATATGTGTCCAATGCAGCATATGATAAATCATTAACATACAAGTACATGTATATCCATACTGTAATACATATATATTGCATTGTTTTTAGAGACCTGTTCTGTAGATGCCCTTAGACAGTGTGTCTACCCATCACGCCATCTGATATCACTTGTTCTGAGCATATTTCTCTCTCAAACTTAAACTACAGAGAGCCTGTGGATAGAGGATGAAGAGTGACCTTGGACTAATTTTCTAGGTCAAAGGTCAGTATCAAAATGTACTGTATATCTTTATTCAAAGTCGTAGTCCAGAGTATATTTCTCCCTTGGTGTAATCTAGCTTTTATGCAATTGGTGTGGAGGGTCTGCAATGATCTTCAACCAATTTTTTAGGTCAAATATCAAAAATTAAAAAAATTCTCTCTCTATTAATATTTTTGTTATTATAAAGAGTATATTTTCTCTCAAACTAATTCAACTTAAAGCAGGGTTCTATGAAATTGTAATATATTCTCAATGATATAATGAGGCTGAAAACATTATTTATATTATGTAAAAAATTTTTCCTTATCATAAAGCATTGAATTTTAAAGAGACACATTAAATGCTGAAATCATATGTATCATGGTCATGGAAAGTAATTATTGATATTGGTATATTAAAGAACATTGGCTGATCTTTCAGATTTCTAAGTTATATTCAAGCATTATAATTCTGACACATCATATGATAATTTTGTATGAATATTGCAGATCATAGATGATGTGAAGGAAATACCAGGGAACTGATGTTGAAAGAAGTACTTAATGACGCTTATGAATGGACTTAAATGTGAAAGACTGTTCCATTGTTTATCTAAGATATATGAATTTATTTAGTATTTTGATATCATTGAAAAATACTGTTACAGTTTTTGTACATCAAATGAATTATTAAACATATAAAATGGTAATGCTTTTTTTCTCTTACATTTAATAATTTTTTTGATAGATTTTTGAAAGAATACACATAATTTCACATCGCTTCCTTAAGAAAAGTTGGGGAATCTTGAAGTTTCCCAGTAACTTCAACCAGGAATGGGACCCCAGATAATTCCACCAAGTTTCTGCCACACAGAAACTGCTACACAAGTTCCATATAGTTTCCTGAGTCAAGGAAACTTTAGGAATCGTAAGGTTTCACGAGCTTCCATGTAGTTTCCCGTAATAGGAAACCTTAAGATTCCATCAAGTTTTCATTCCACGGAAACCACTACACTCCGATTCCCTGTGGTTTCCTGAGTCACGGAAACTTTAGGAATCATGAGGTTTCCCAAGCTTCCATGTAGTTTCCTTAAAAAGGAAACCTTAAGATTCCACCAAGTTTCCATCCCACGGAAACCACTACGCTCCGATTCCATATGGTTTCCTGAGTCACGGAAACTATAGGAATGGTGAGGTTTCCCGAGCTTCCATGTAGTTTCCCGTAAAAGGAAACCTAAAGATTCCACCAAGTTTCCGTGACACGGAAACCCCCTACGCTCCGATTCCATCAAGTTTCCTGATTCTGGAAACCAGTGGAATCTTTAGGTTTCCCATTACGGGAAACTACATGGATGTTCGGGAAACTTCAGGTTTACAGAGGTTTCCGTGGTTCGGGATACCTTATGGAATCGGAGCGTAGGGGGTTTCCGTGTCACGGAAACTTGGCGGAATAACCTGGCATCCGCTGCGGAAACCACTGGGAAACATGCTGCCCCACCAGACAGCACACTGAACCCTTGTGCTCGACTCTTTCTTCCTGAGAATTTTGTGTCACAATCGAGTGCGTGTGAGCCGAACATGCAAAGCGGAATCAACCAGGCTCTTATGGATATGACAAACTTTTTGACCAAGAAAAGCTTCATATTGGAAAGAGTTAAACCATTCGTTGGCGACTCAGAGTCTTACCTAGCATGGAAGTCTACATTCCAGGAAGTTATGAAGGAAATTGATGCATCCCCATCTATTGAACTGGACTTAATGATAAAAAATCTTGAAGGAAAACCATATGAGCAAGTGAAGAGCATAAAGAACTCAAATACTGGTGACTCTACTTTGGGAGTACAGAAAGCGTGGGAAAGATTGGATTCGTTTTACGGCAGCCCAGATCGCATTGCGAGAGCTTTGAAGAGAAAGTTAAGTGATGTTTTGGAGAAATTTGACTTCAACAACAGGCCAGACTACTTTTGTCTCTCAGACACACTGAATGAAAAAAATGCTGTCAAAGACAATCCCAAGTACAGTAAGACATTGAGTTATTTTGACACATCAGATGGAGTCAAACCAGTGTTACTCAAACTTCCCATACATGTCCAGAACAAGTGGCGTGACAAGGCAATACAATACAAGAAAAACAATGATGTAGTGTATCCACCATTTTGTGTATTTCGTACCTTCGTCCAAGAAACGGCCTATGTGATGAATGACCCAGGATTTGACTTTGAATTTAAACCGAATCACTTAGCACCGAAGACAAAATCGAACAAACAATTTCACAGACAGACTGTTACTTCCAACAAAACAGATGTGTTTCAAGACGAGAGTCAGACAAAAGTGCGTTGTGCTATCCACAATTCTGCACACTCCACGCAATGTTTTCCACACAAAGAATATCGGTGAAAAGAGGGACATCTTAAGGAAACATGGACAGTGTTTTAAGTGTTGTGATGGCAAACATTTGTCTAATGACTGCCGTGTGAAAGTGAAATGTGATACTTGTGGTAGCAGACATCATTGCACTGCCATGCATTTTGACACATCAAACCGACCCTCCCAGAATCATGGCGGGGAGAAACTAACCGGTGAAAAACCAGCTTTTCATCGTCAGACGGCTGAGACGACCACACAATTAAACGCAGCTTGTACAGAAATTTGTGGGGATTTCAGGGGCAAATCATGTGCTAAGATTGTACTGGTCAGCGTTCACCATAAGCACAGCGAACACCCACCTGTTAATGTGTACGCCATTCTTGACGAGCAGAGTAACAAGTCACTGGCAAAACCTGAACTTTTTGAAATGTTTGACCCAAACAGTACTTGCGAATCTTACAAACTCTCTACTTGCAGCGGATCATCTTTTGTCAGTGGCAGACGCTCTCATGGCTTTGTGATTAACTCGATGGACAGACAAACTACTTTCAGTTTACCTACCTTAATTGAATGTAGTGCAATACCGAACAATCGTCACGAAATCCCAACTTGTGATGTAGCCATTCATTACCCTCATCTTGCTCAGATATCGAGCTTTATTCCACCTATGGACCATACGGCAAATATATCACTACTGATTGGCAGGGATCTCTTGGGCGCACATTATGTCCTTGACCAGATACGAGGTGATCCCTCACAACCATATGCTCAACGGCTACCATTAGCCTGGGTTGTCATAGGAGAGACGTGCTTGGATGGAATCCATACACCGAAATCTGTTGATGTTATGAAAACCATGTGCTCGAATTCCATACAACCATCTCAAGGCATCTGGATACCATGTGACCAAAAGATGCACATTACAGAATGTATTGAAAACCAGTCTGTGTTTAGAAGAACCACGACAGACAATCAACCATCATTGTCAGTTGAGGACCGCTTATTCTTGACTCAGATGGACAGTGATATGAAAAAGGACTCTTCGGGGCATTGGAGTGCTCCGCTACCCTTTAAGAGGACACGACCTACTTTACCAAACAACCGACAACAAGCTTTGGATCGAGCAGTCAGCCTTGACAAGAGTTTGATGAGGAACCCTCTAAAGAAAACTCATTTTCTTGAATTCATGAGGAACCTTTTTGAAGCCGGTCACATCGAGTTGGCACCACAGCTACCACCAAACACTGAGTGCTGGTACTTACCTTTGTTTGGGGTCTACCACCCCCAGAAGAGAGACAAAATCCGCGGAGTTTTTGACTCTTCTGCGAAGTGCGACGGAGTATCACTCAACGATGTCCTAATGACTGGACCAGATTTAATGAACAATCTTATTGGTGTGTTGCTAAGATTCAGGAGAGAATCTGTAGCAATAGTTGCAGACATCGAACAGATGTTTTACAGTTTCTTAGTGGATATTGAACACAGACGTTACTTGAGATTCATTTGGCACAAAGACAATAACTTTGACGAACCTTTGGTTGACTACCAAATGAAAGTACATGTTTTTGGTAATTGTCCCTCCCCTGCGGTGGCGACCTATGGACTACGTCGTACAGCTGACGAAGCAGAGGAACAATATGGCTCGGACATGAAAGAATTCGTGCATCGCAATTTCTACGTGGATGATGCTCTTTTCTCTCATTCATCTGCAGAGGATGCAATTGATCTACTAAAATTTTGTATATTTGAGTAGAACAAGTTGATAATGTGTTGCTTAACTATTGATAGTGTAGAAGAATTTACAGAGGAAACTCAAATATAAGTTTTGAATGTCAGGATTAATTTGTGTAATGTTTACCTATGAATCTTTATAAGTTTCTTGGTAGTTTTTGATTTATATTACCTGAAGTTGTGAATCTACATGAATTAATTTGTATTTTTATTTTTTTGTGTAGCTTTCACAGAATGTCTCACAAGAGAATGTATGAAGTCTGCTCCAGACCCTTGAAAGTTGAATTCTGAATAAATTTTATGAACCTTTGAGGCATTTTGTTAACTGAAACAAAACAGGGTCTTTTCACAAGGATTACATATATGAAGTATAAAAGCCCTATCCTTTACTGTTCAAAAATTATGGCCAAGGTTAAAGTTTTTCACAAGTACGAAAATCTACAAGGTCAAGGTCAAAGGGTCAAGGTTGTTGGTATCCAGTGAAAGGTCTTTTAACAAACATTACATATGTGAAGTATAAACGTCCTGGTGTCTACTGTTCAAAAGATATGGCCTAAGTAAAATTTTTCTTAAAAAGTGGGTCAAACTCCAAGGTCAAGGTCAAAGGGTCAAAGTTATTGTTATCAAATGAAAGGTCTTGTCATAAGGATCAAATATGTAAAGTATGAAAGCACAAGCCCTAACTCTTTAAAAGTTATGGTCAAGGTTTGCTTTTTTAAAGTAGGTCAATCTCAAAGGTCAAGGTCAAAGGGTCAAGGATCTTCATATCCAATGAAGGGTCTTCTCACAAGGATTACATATATGAAGTATGAAAGCCCTATCCCTTACCGTTCAAAAGTTATGGCCAAGGTTAAAGTTGTTCCACAAGTACGAAAATCTACAAGGTCAAGGTCAAAGGGTCAAGGTTATTGGTATCCAGTGAAAGGTCTTTTAACAAACATTAAATATGTGAAGTATAAAAGTCCTGGTGTCTACTGTTCAAAAGATATGGCCTAAGTAAAATTTTAAAATTTTTATGTAAAAGTGGGTCAAACTCCAAGGTCAAGGTCAAAAGGTCAAATTTGGTGGTACCCAAAGAAAGGTCCTGCCACAAGGAATACACATATGAAATATGAAAGTCATAGCTCCACTAAATCAAAAGTTATGGGCAAGGTTAAAGTTTTTGCGGACAAACAGACAAACAGAGAGACAGACACGACAAAAACTATATACCCCCGAAACTTCGTTTACGGGGGCATAAAAACAATTTCTTTTTTTTATTTCAAAAGGATTTGAAAAAAGTGGGAGAACAAAATGTGTAATATTAATGATTTTTTAAGAGTTTGAAAAAGAAAGAGAAAACGGAAATCCTATTGTAGCAACATTTAAAGATGTAAAACAGAATTTGAAATGATATAAATTGTATATGGTATACAATGAGTGATGCACTCGAGTAAACGAGGTCAAATAGAAAAAACACCAAGGAAAGGTGATACGTCTGTTCATTGAAATGAAATGTAAAGAGAACTGTAAAAGAATACTTTTATCACACAAGTAAGGAAGAATTTGCAAGCCTTTTAGAAACTTGGTAAATGATTGAAAAAGCTGGAAAACAAAAAAAAAAAATCCAAAATAAAAAAGAAATGCATATTTATATCTTTACAAGATGGTGAAAATGTCGTCTTACCCGTCATGATTAAATATATAATATTTATGTAGTAAAAAAAAAATAACAAAACGTCGCTTAAAACTCTACTGGTTTTAACTGTATCATCGTGTGTTTTTTTCTGATTTCTCATTTACACCATCTTATAAGATGCAAATACGCATTTCTTTTACTTTTTGGATTTGTGTATATTTTTTTTTATTTACATCTGTAAACAACTACACTTAATAGGAAACAAGATTTTTTTTGTTTTTTTTTTTTTTTTATTTACATGTTTTTTTTTTTTTTTTTTTTAAATTAACATATTTGTTTTAATTGTGCTAGTCACGTATTTCTTTGATATTTGAAATATGAGAAGAGTGTGTATTATGAACGAGAATTTTCAAACCTTAGACACACCTCTGAAAAAAAAATTCTGGTGAGCTTCCTGAGTTGTTTTTCACACATCAATAATCATATCCAATGAGAATGGAAGAAGAAAAAAGGAAAATAAAACCTAACAATAAAATTTGATTATTTTGTAAAGAGTCGGTGAAGATTTCATTTCGAAGTCACCGACAGAAAAAAAAAATGTATATGTGTGGATATTGTCATTTAATGTTTGATACATATGAAAATGTGGAAAAACATGAGAGGACTCACGAGCAAATGAATACTAGGTAGGGAACTCCTTTTCTTAATATATAAATTAACGTTTACATAAAATCATAAGTTTATGAAAGTAAAGTGTATAAAGAAGAAATATAACCTGTGTGTATACTTGTCATCTATTTGGTATGACGTGCAAAGAGAGGTAACTCTACTTAATGTGATGATTACTGTTGTATGATTTTCATAGCCTAGCATAAAATTCTCTCTCTCTTTTCTCTCTCTCTCCCTCTCTCTCTCTCTCTCTCACGCAATATATATATTTATATATATATGATACAAAAAATACTTATAAACTAGAAAACATATAACTCTGTACTAAATTTAGGAATTAAGAATGTCGCACAGGAAAGATAACTCTAGTCTTCATTGACATACAATAAAGGGATACTGAATTACCCCGCTTAACACAGTTTGGGTGTGTGTGTGTGTGTGTGTGTAGTAGATTTAATATATATAAAAAGAGTATATTATGTAAAGATTTTTTTTTTAAGTTGCACATTAGTATCAGATTTATTAATAGTGAAATTAAAGGAAACTTTTGATATATATTTAAAAAAAAAGTACGGTGCTGTATTTATTTCATAAATATTTTTTTTCAAGTTCTTAAAGTATATATATATTTTTTGTTTTTTTTTTTTACAGTTCACGTACTGTTCGCGAGCAAAGTTTATTTCGTGATATTCAATACATGGATTGGACAAACCCACAGGAGAATAATTTAGCATCCCCTGCAAATGATGATCACCAACAGTCTACTAACAATATTAATAAGTTGAGTGATGATTTTGGAGAAATTGCCGATTCTTCCTTCCATGATGAACTTTCACTATTAAACACATTTGACAAGGACCAAGCGTATGCTCCGTATTCTCTCGACTTTTCTGATATTTCAGATATCAGTTTTCAGGAAGGGGACGCCCTAATCAGTGATATGCAAGTGGATCCAATAGATTTCCCTTTCTCAATGCAGACTGGTGGGGGTAATGGTGATTACAATATTAAAATTGTCAAGGAAAAGTCTTTAAAAAAGATGGGTGCCGTTGATGTTAACTATCAATTGACATTTAAGGACAGCCAATTTCGAAAGAAAAAGAAAATGATGGATGTCAAAAATGAATTAAGAGAGGCTTTTGAAGTAATGATTGAACGAGTAAAGAGAGATCTCCGACCCGGCGATATTATGAGGGCGGCTATTCATAACGATAACCTAGACTTACCAATTTTCGTTCCTTGTCGTCCGATGGAAGAAATGAATGCAGATGCCATGATGGAAAGTCTGACCTCCGTTCTCAATAGCAAGCAAGATTTGCCTTTTGACTCATCATGTCACATCGACGTAGGTGCCATAAAATACCCACGTGGTGGAAAAGGAGTCAAGATGGCATCCATTAGCGCAAGTCTTCAACATAAGACATCTATAGTGAAGATTAAAAATAGAGATAATTTATGTCTTGTACGAGCCGCCCTCGTAGCTTTCGCTAAGGTTTGTTGTGTTCGTGAGGCAGAGTATAAGAGAGAACAGACATTGTACCCGAATCTCAGTACATGTGAAATGCTCATACTGCATAACAAATGCCCCATCTGGTATTTTAACTACCTACGGGATAACGAAAGAAGCAGACAAGATATCCTCACAAGATACGTATGTGAGGCATTGTGTATCGTTGGTGATCAGCCATTGACTTATGCATTCATACCCGTGTTAGAAGATTATTTAAATGCTAATATTTACGTTGTCAGTGCACGTCTAGGTGATAACTTTTCTTATGTGAGCCCTAACTGTGACTCTGAGAGACAAAAAATATTTTTATACCACGTTGACACTGAAGAGACAGGACATTTTCATGCCATTACAAAAATTTCAGGTTTCTTTGCAGATTCCTATTTCTGTTCCACTTGTCTTAAGACATACGAGCAAAGATTTAAACACAGTTGTGCAACACACTGTAATGTCTGTCTCTCAGATGATTGTCGCCATGGAGAGACAAGAACTTGTTCAGATTGTCACCGAGACTGTAGATCCTTCAATTGTTTTTTAAGACACAAAACTCGAACAGGTAGCGGAAGCATACCTTGTGAACTCATGTATAAATGTCCAACATGTAACAAGACGTTTGAGTGTTCAGAATTGGACCCCAAAAAGCATCAATGTGGATTCTTTACATGTCAGTCCTGTAGAGAGTACGTGGAACCAGAACACCTGTGTTATGCAAGGTGTCATATGTCGTCAGACAAAAAAGAAAACCGACGTTATATTTTTGCAGACATCGAGTCATCACAGAAAGATGTCATTGTACAATGCGATTGGGGATATAACCCTCAACGAAAGGATGACTGTTTACAATGTCAGACTGAGAAATCCGACTGTGACTCATGCCGACTTTGTCAACACTGCTTTAAAAGTCACTGTGGAAAACCGAAGCATACCCTTGTTTTTGCTGTGTGCCAGACTGCTTGTGAAAATTGTGAGAATGAAGATTTAACTCCAAATGCCACATGTGTTTCTTGTGGAGATCGCTGTACCAAGTGTTCTAAAATTGATAAAAAGACTAAAAATTTCGTGACTGAACCTTGCCCCCGAACCTGTGGATTTCGAGAACGAACTTTTAACACCTTGTACGAATTAGGAAATTGGATCTTTCACAAAAATCATAAAGGCTTCACTGTTCTTTTTCACAACTTATCCTACGATGGGCAATTCCTCATGCAATACCTCCTATCACAGTCTATTCGACCTTCATTTATCATATACAGAGGTAGCAAAATACAAATGTTCAATGTGAGTAGATTACAGATGAGAGTAATAGATTCCTTTAATTTTCTTCCAATGGCGTTAGCAAAACTACCGCAAGCTTTTCAGCTGGAGTCTTTGGCTAAAGGCTACTTTCCGCATTTCTTCACCTGTCAGGAAAACTTGAATTATGTTGGAACATATCCACCACCCGAAACCTATGGACCGGATTGTATGTCTGTAGAGGGAAGGCTAAATTCTATCGTTGGTATCAGGACAAAGTTAACAGTAATGAAATATTTGATTTTCGCGAGGAGATGATGAAGTACTGTCGAAGCGATGTTGACATTCTCCGACGAGCATGTCTAAAATTCAAAAATCTTTTGCTAGAGGCGACACAGAAGGATGGGGGTCCAGGTGTTGATGCGTTTTCATCCACTACCATTGCCTCTCTTTGTATGAATGTATTCAAACTCAAATTCCTTCCAGAAGATTGGAAGATTTGGGTCAGAGAAAATAATGAAGAGCGAGAATTAGACGCAAAAACCCTGAATGGACATATGACTGTATATCATCAAAATCAATGGAAGACCTGGTCAGAATTCAAAGCCCTTAACCTCGAGAAAATCAAAGAAGTGTTTATCAAGTCCCCGATTGCTCGTCCTCCCTCGAATGGATACCATTCTCGACTTAAATTTAGTAAAAAGTCAATTAGTTGGTTAGAATTAATCAAACATCGCAAACGTATCAAAGGACACTCCATTGAAATTCAACATGCACTAAACGGATTTGGAGAGTACAAAGTTCCCGGAACTCGTTACTTTTTAGACGGTTACTCACCACCCGATTTAGAAAACCCCAGAGGCATCGCTTACGAATTTAACGGATGCCTTTATCATGGCTGTCCTGTCTGCTTCAAAAATAAAGAAGATGTTCTCCTTCCAAACTCGGAACAAACGGCATCGGAACTCTTATCTTTGACACGTCACAAGGAGAGAAAACTTAAAGAACTTGGTTTTAAAGTCCTCAGCATCTGGGAACATGAATTCGACGCTTGGTTGGAAATGGATAGTGAGGCCCGATCGTTTGTCGATACTTTTGATGTAGTAGATCGCCTTGATCCTAGGGATAGTCTAATGGGTGGGCGCACTAATGGCTGTGTGCTCTACAAGAGGGCGAATCAGGGTACTAAAATAAAATACGTTGATTTTACATCCCTATATCCTTATGTCAACAAGACGTGTCGTTATCCGATAGGTCACCCAGTGATTATATCAAATGATTTCAGCGACATCTCATCTTATTTCGGATTAGCTAAAGTGAAGGTTTTACCACCTCGTGGGCTCTTTCACCCTGTATTGGGATATCGTACGGGAGGTAAATTGACTTTTCCTCTCTGTCGGACGTGTGTGGAATTACAAAATCAGGAGACATGTACCTGTTCCGATGATCAGAGAGCGTTGACAGGAACGTACTGCACACCCGAGCTCCAAAAAGCCGTTCAGAAGGGATATATTATTCTAAAGATCTATGAAGTTTACCACTGGTCGGAGACGACTCAGTACGATCCCGCTACTAAGACCGGTGGTCTCTTTGCTGAATACATTAATTTATTTCTAAAGATCAAACAGGAGGCTAGCGGGCGACCCCACTGGGTCAATACAGAAGAAGATTTACAGAAATATATTGAAATGTATGAACAGAGAGAAGGTATTCGTCTAGACCCTAGTAATATCGAGTACAATGCAGGTCTTAGAAGTCTCGCCAAACTACTCTTAAATAGCTTTTGGGGAAAATTCGGCCAACACCTCAATCTCACTAAAAACCAATTCCTGCACGATAGTCAGGCTCATGTCTTGTTCCAGCAGATGGCCAATCCGACTGTTGAGATAGTAGATTTTAATATCGTAGACGAGGAGAACCTCCTGTTATCTACCAAACGGACATCTGAAGAGATGTGCCAGCCTGGTCATACAAATGTGTTTCTGGCTTCTTTTACAACATGTTGGGCAAGACTGAAGCTGTACGAATTATTGGATCAGTTACAGACCCGAGTTTTGTATTGGGACACTGATTCCGTTATCTACACTCAAAAGGAAGGCGAGTTAGAACCTCCAGTAGGTGATTATCTAGGTGAACTCACTAACGAACTGGAAGAGGATGACTGGATCACAGAATTCGTTTGTAATGGACCAAAGAACTATGCTTACAAAACACACAAAGGGAAAGAAGTTTGCAAAGTCAAAGGATTTTCTTTGAATTACCAGAATTCCCAAGTTCTTACTTTAGAAAGTATGAAAGACGTCATGTTTAACAGAGATGATGAGAATTCCGCTGTGTACCATACGACTAACCCAAGCAAGATATGTAGAGACAAAATTCACAGTGAACTTTATTCTCAGGAAGAAATAAAGCGTTATTCGGCTGTTTATACTAAAAGAGTTATACAACCTAATCTTGTTACATTACCTTACGGTTATTAAAGATTTTATCAAAATGTCTTATATCAATGAACAAGTTTATCTCAAATAATAAAATATTGTATTGAGACTGCTCTCATTTTTCTGTTCTGCTTATACATCGTCTTGGAAATTGATGAAAATAAAAATAAAATCAGACAACTTTTTCTATCAAAATTTATTTCTGTATTCTTATCCAAACATACAATTACATTTCCCTCTGACAGAAGAGAGAAAAAAGTCCTTATTATCATCGTTTAAAGAATCCATCAAAAGTGTATCCATTTTGTCCTTTTTTTTGGAATACGAATGCCTGGTGGTGAACTTGCCTTGCGTTTTCTGCTCCCAGTAAATATCATTCCTGTGCCAGACTGTTCGGTAGCATCCTCCTCCCGTGTTGTCCCCTTTGGCACATTAAAGTCTTTATCTGATACACTTTCGGTATTCACACCTTGATCCCGCATTTCTGATTTCTCTTCATTCTTTCTCTCCTTCATCCGATCGTAGATCGTCTTCTTCACCAGCAGGTATTCTTCGGCCATTCTTTTTAAAGTAAGCTCTCAAAATCAATGTTATCACTTCCCCGTTTTTTTGTAATAGTTTTTTGACGTACGTGGTTTTCACTGCACGATTACTCACAGACTGAATTATTTTTTTGTAAGGTTTCAGTTTTGTTTTGTAATAACCGGAAATAGGAAGTTGACCCAAATATAAGTTTAAGGTAATTTCCCTAAAGGCTGTAATTTGATCTTCAGAGGCTGTCTTGATTAACTGATTTCTCTGATCCTTATCAGCATCGTAGAGAAATGACAAAAATGCTCCCTGACGTCTGATTCTTTTTGACATGATGAAGGAAATGAAGATGTCAGAGTTGGGAGTGTCTTATTTATTTAGGCAGATAAACAATAGTTTCTCCTTCTTCCGGTAAGAGATTGGTTCGCAGTCGTCTGTCCTCTGGACAGTGATTGGTTAGATCCACAAGAATGTAACCATAAGGACGCCCTACAGCCTTAGCATACGCATCCATCCAAAACTTTGAACGCCCAGTAAACACTTGACTCCCAAATGTAATAATCTGACGATTGTCTCTCACATTTTTAAAAAGAATCACATGTTGACAATTCAACAAGATGCTTTTGGCATAAACCCCAGGTGGGTAGAGATTTTGAGAGAGCAAAAAGACGGTAAGTTTTGAATGAGACACCAAAGTCTGAAAGAGATGTAAGGCATCAGCACTCTTAGTAACTAGATGAATCATGTCGTCTAAAATAATAAACGTGTGAGGGTATTCTTCACTCCATTCTTTGATCTCTCCACTACTAGGCAAACCTCGAAACGTTGAGAAATCTGAAAGGGTTGACTGCATATCATCCATGATTGGCTGCTCCTCCATATAACAATATACGATTTTATCGGGTTTTACGTCAAAAATTTCGTCGGCATTTTTTAACATGTTCCACACTAAATATGTTTTTCCAGACATTGTTCCGCCAATAACTGCGAACGAAGTTGGTGTCTTAAATTTCATCACTCAAGTGTTCTTGTTCACGATCTGTGTTGAAATGATGTCTTCTTTGACAAAACCTCATTTTAAATACTCTCAGAAATTTTTTAAAAAAAATATCAGATGATATATATATTTTTTTAAATTGTTTTTCCTGTATTTTTTTCAAAAAAGAAAAAGACATGAACAATTTTTTTCACATTTATTTACATTAAAAAAAGGACAAACATGGAAAGAAAAAACTGGCATGCAAATTTACTGAGTAAATAAAGAAATATACAAGAACTCCGGGCGGGCCCCCCCGGTATCCCTGATAGCCGGTGTCATCGGTCATCCGGTACCCAAATCTCCGGAGATCTTTGGTATCCGGAAATCAGATCTCCGGAGATTTTTAGTTTCCGGTAACCACATCTCCAGAGTATTAACCCCCCCGCCCCCCACCCCCAACACACAAATCAAAGATAGCTGTATTTATATACATGATTAATAAGTAAGCTTACATTTTACAGAAGTTTTATGATATAAGACTAAATACGTGAGTACATAAATTTAAGATGATTTCATTTTTAAAACAATGTGACGTACAGATTCGTCTGAAGGAAGTTTTTTCAGTAGTCTGAGAATAGTTTGCATTGATAAACCTTTCACACGATAATAAAGATAAAATAAAACATGATATCCACAGCTTGTGGCATACTTTGGTTGTACTTGAACATTGTTATAGATACAGGAGAGTGAATTTCTGTCAATGAAATCTCGTAAGCGGACATCGTAATCTTCTGGTAATTTTCCAAAGCTATCGTAAAATTCACATTCATCGACATTCTTGAACCAGAATCCAATCCAGTGTGAACCTTTCTTCTCAATGGGGTCCGTGTTGCAAATGAAAGCCGATGGAAACTGTTTTACACGAATCGGAAGAGTGTTAGACGCAAAGATTCCTCTGAAACACTTTTTAAGTTCAGGAAGAGAATGTAAGATATGAGTCATCTGTTCGGAATTCATGCTTCTTTTTTTTTATATTTGTCTGACTTCTCTACTTTGATCTATGAGGAGAAGTCCGGGATATTCACAGTAAGCAATGGCACTGATAGTCACTGATGTGGCTTGTGCAAAGCGAGCATATACTCCAACGTTTCCTTGATGTACTAGGTTTATATACCCTTCTCCCAAGTCTGTGGGTACGAGGTCAAAGGCAAAAATGCAGGAGCCTTTAGCAAAAGTTTCCCTATCGATGGCCAGACTCTCATCTCTGTTCCACTTTTCAGCTGACTGATACAAATTGCAGAGAGGAGTGACATAATTCTTATTATTTCCAAAGTCTAATTTTATGGGGCGGATAGGTATGGGTTCTCCATCGACAGTCAAAAATATTTCAGACAGATTGAAGTGTTCCAGGTTGAAGGGGTTATCTGAATAACTACCATTCACTGCCGATTGTTTTACGAATGCAACGTACATTTTGGATGGTCTCCTGCCGTTCCAGACATCATCCCAGTAGAATTCACTGGTCTTGTCCGAGATTGAAGTCATCTTAACGTCGGTTCTCATATAGTTGTATCTAGCTGGGGACTTGGCAATAGCATTTGAGTGATTTAACATTATAGCACTGTCTACTTTGATTTTACAGGCTTTGAAAATAGCATCAACGATCGTAATTTTGTAATTAGGTGATGCCTCTTTACTCATAACCATAAATGAGTTCCTTGTGCGAAATAGTCTCAGTTGTATATCCACACCATTAATAAGATACTTGTCTAGGTTAAAACAGTCCACATATAATGGTCCTTCTAAGTCAAAGACCCTAGATTGTTGAGTATACACATAACGTGATCTCAAAGCCATGTTGGTGCCCCCAGATGCGTCCGGATTTTCTGTACCTTCTCCCTCCGGAAAATATAACTGAGTCTGTAACTGAGTCTTAGATGTGTCTGACCCACTTGTTAAGAGAACTTTGAGGTAGGCCTTCCAAGGATAATGATTGGCATTTTGCGACATGCATTTTCCGTTCATGTAGACGTCAATCTGAGAGAACAAAGATTGAAGGGGTAAATTAACGATACCTGTTTTCTCAGAGGCTGCTAATGGTGTATCATCTGATTTTGTGATTTTGGCTTTCAGGTACAAACGACTTCTTCTAAGATCAAGGTACTCGGGTCCATTTGATGGAATGGAAAATTCCAGAGGAGCCGTATCGCTTTCAAAGGAAGAAATTGGACGAGATTCACTAAAATAGATTTTCTGAACAGCCACCTGATTGGGTGGATCTGAAAATAGAGAAAGTTCTGTTGGCTCTGCCACCGACATGTTGAGTTCACTTAAGAAGGCCATGATTCTTTAAAAGATGGGTGTTCCTTTACTGCTGGATTTTTTCTTTCTGATAGTTTTTGTTTTCTTTCCTTTTGCTGACTTTTTCACCTTCTTTATCCTCTTCTTTAATTTTTTCGATTTTTTTCGGTTCTCTTTCTTTTTCCTCTGTAAACGTCCTTTCTCTTTGGTTGTCGAAGATTGACTAACAGATTTTTTCTTCTTTTTTCTTTTTAAGGTCGTTTTTAGAGACATGTGGGGTTCATCGTTACGCATGGTTTCCTTAAGATCAGACAACGCCCTCTCTCGTTCTGCAGCAACAGGAGTCACCTGCTGAATGTCCTTTTTTGGTGTAGATGCTACTGGTTTCACAGGTATCATTTGAGCTTTTCTTTTATATAATATTCCACCACCTCTTTGTGACTTGCGTCGTATTATCGGTATGAAATTTTCCCCACTCTCTGTGTGGTGAAATTGCTCCCAAAGTGAAGGGTTAGAAAAATAAGTCGGACCAGACATTCTATTTCAAACAGACTGCTGACGAAAAATCAGTGTCACGGTTGTCTCTCCGGTTAAGAATGAGGGATCTCTGTCGTTTTTATCCTTTATGTAGATATGTACATCTCTGAGATCATTGTACCGTAACGGAACTCGATACGGTCGAAGAAATATTATATTTTTGGTGTCCTCCAAATATATTCGTCTCAAAAGTGGAACTTGTTTTTCTCCCAGAATCGTGTCGTCACAGATCGAACAGTAGATAAAAATTTCTTTGTTGATAGATTGTTTGATACTCGCATTACAAAATTCAGCTAATTCCACAGTCCAGTCACCAGTAAGAGGTAAGGATCTTGGCAGACGTACTCTGAAGTCCCACGGTTGATTATCAGCATGCGATGACTGACTGTCCGTAGATTTAAGAACCATACGCATCGACATCTTCTAATAAAATAAAATTACAGCTCCGTATCATGTCTTTTTTATATCCTTGGACGAAATCCAGCTATCAAATTTTTTTGGCCAACCCAACCATCGAACTAGTATCTCTTCTTTTCCTCGAATTTTTCGTTTCCTTAGGACTTTTTCGATTCTCCAAGTTGTGTTTTCATCTTTAGAAACTTTCTGTAGCTCACTTGCATAGAAACTCCCCAATATTGCTTCATCCATCATATCCTTTAATTTGTAGATAGGTATACCTTGTGAGAGGAAACGATCACTGACGATGAAGATTTCTTCAGTGTAAGTCTGGTCATAGTCGCGTTGAAACTGACGTCTCAGGTGAGTTATGCGAACTTGGTCTCCCACTTTTAAGGTATAGGGATTTCGTTTCCGTTTGGAAGATTTCTTTACTATCGTTACTTTTTTGGTTTTTCTCCTAGCCAAGTAAGCATCAAGTCTTACCTCTTCCTCGTTATCTTTGTTCACTGAAGACGGTGTTCTTCCGTTCAGGGAGCGGTTTGGTGTTTCATTGATGGACTGAACCACATCTTGCAGAATGTTTAAGTATTTGTATTTTTGTTCATGTGTGAAATACCGATAAAGTCTCTTCTTCAGAGTCTGTATGTACCTTTCGGCAAAATTTGCTTTCGTTTCGTTTAATGCATAAAATATTTTTATGTTTTTTCCTTTTAAGTACTGCTTAAGGTACCGGTTATAAAATTCACTTCCTTTGTCAGTTCTGATGGCTTTGGGTTGTCTGGATCCACTTAAGATGTCTTTGAAGGCTTCTATAATAGATTTAGCCTTCTTATCATGTAAGGTCCTCACCCAAAGAAAACGGGAAAAGACGTCAACAACTACCAGTAAAAATTTAACCCCGTCATTGTACTCGGAAATATTCTGAACATCGGCGAGATCAGCCTCCCACTGGTAATCTATTCCCTGTACTATGACACGTCTTCTCTTAAACCCTTTTCTTTTCACTTTCTTCTGTAAAGAATAGGCGTCTTGATTTTGCAGAAAGTTCTTAATTTTACGTAAACCAATTTTATATTTTCCCTCTTTTCTAACCACTTGGAGTAGTTTGGAGGGTCCAGCAAAAGATCCTGGGTGTCGGGGATCATACCATATATTTTTCAAATACTCTTCCATCGTCAACTTCAACTTCTCTCATAGATGACTACCTTATAAATGCATTTTTTATATTAAAGACAAATCTTTTATACCCAACACATTACAATAAAAATTTAGATTCAGTGGAGAAAATAAGAAGAGTCACCAATCAGATTATTATTTTATTCAGCATGTAACATCGATGTAATTCACAGATGCAAAATAAATACAATGTAAATATTCTCTATAAACAAATCAGCTAAATTTTTCTATAATATGTTTTTGTTTTCTTCAAAAAAAAAATTTATCAACAAGTCTCTTAGACGAGGCCTTTGTGTTTTTTTCCGTCGCTCACCATATTGGCAAAGGAACAGTTTTTCGACCATCGAATGTGTTCGTTGTAAGCATCGTCCATAGGTTCCCAATTCTTCAATGTCATGCCACAACAAAAACATGTTACTTTATCGCCGATTTGAGTGTATATGAATCCAGCACGCGCCAAGTCTTCTTTACCCGGTCCCTTCAAGAATCTCGGCCAATCCCAAAAAGTCTGAATTCGTTTGCTAAAATTTTTGTACTCAGGGTATTGCCAGAGACCGTTTTCGTTGTAGGCTGGTGGTGGCGGTGCAATGTTCTTGATTGGCATTTGTATCGTCCTGTATTGATCCTGGTTCTTCTGTGAACGAGATCCATTTTGAGAATCAGTGAAATTCCAAGCAAAATTGGCATTGGAATCTATTTCCCAGGAGGCCGAGGGTAGACTATCCAACGAGGCTGGAGACTTAGCGTGTCCAGCTACATTAACACAAGAATCTGTTTCTACAAAATTGGCACTGCAGTCTAAAGAAGAAGACATGATGTTTTGTATGACACTACAAACGAGAGAATAAAAGACTCGAATGACATACAATATCTTATATAGTACTTGTTACGTCACAGACGGAAAAAAAGCATTATGAATGCAAACAATACATTTCTATAAAAAACGTGATCTAGTTAATTCTATATCCCTCATTGAGATAGAAATCATGATTTCGGTCAGTGACGTCATTGATCATGTTAAGCGCTCGTGACAAGGTCATTCGTTCTTCTATTGAGTCACGTGGTACTTACTCCATAAAAAAAGACACAAGTTTTTTTTTAGTATCAGACTGTCGTAGAGTCGTTGACATTGCTTTACAAAAATTATTCTAGACTTACATCAACATGAATTTTTATGGGAGAGAATATTATGTGCAACAAGCCTTCAAGCTTCTAGAAAGAGCTGCTTTCGTAAAAACAATGATTGATAATTACATCTTAAAAAATCCGATGACAGAAACCTGTGAATTCTGTCAGAAGCATTATTCCTTGCGCCATAGTCTGGTACATGAAGAAAACTGCGTCGTCAGATTAGTCAAAGAATCTGAAAGGGACTTCAATATTATACAGCGATTTTGGGTAGAGGCTCAAGACATTTTTTATAATAGTTTTGCTCTTGAGAAAAACACCGATTTCACCAGGGAAGAAGTTCTTCGCATCACCATGGCAGATCATTTCTGTGAAGATGACTGGATGGCTGCTGATAATGCTTATAATTTTAAGTTGTATGACAGAGGTGAACTAATTTTTGGCGATTGTGATTCTTTTGAGCAAGATGTGAACGTGGAAGAGCATGAAGACCTTCCAAAACAAGGTGAAAATAACAAAGATGTTGGCTTGAATGAGATAGTGAAACCTCGATGTGCACGGAAATTGTTCTTTTAATTAACAAAAAAAAAAAACAACAAAACGATTTCCATGTTCTTTAAATAGAGTTTCAGATTCTGAAAGAAACTTGGTTATTGGGTCAATGGGATAAAAAGATTATATTTAATGTCGTATTCGTTTAACATTATACATATAACAGTAACCCATTGTTTGATATTCTCCGAGTTTGAGTTGTGACGTCATGGAATTTTCCATGCTGTAGGGTGACATAAACATATATAAAGACACAACTTTGAAAAACAATTTACTTCAGTCTAAACAGATTCAGGAGTTATACACATCATGTCTTCTCCACGTTTATCTATTGCACTTCAAAATGGACGCTTCGTTCGGGTGGTAGAATGGAAAAAAGAACCTAGAGTTGACTTACGGGAGTGGGAAATTGGTGAAGGGGTTGAAAGACCAACCAAAAAAGGCATAAGTTTGAAACTTATTCAATTTAAGACTCTACTCTCGGTGATGGATTCCATTCAAACAGCACTTGATATGAATGAGGAAAAGGAATGCCACCTTGGTTACAATACCTTTATCACTGTGCGAAAAGACAACCCTTGTGTAGACATTCGCCAGTACTGGAAACCAACGAAAGATTCAGACATCGTACCTACCAGACGAGGACTCTGTCTCAGACCTGTTGAATTTAATCATTTCAAACATGTTTTGGACGAAATACAAAAATGTCTACCAGAATTGGATCATGTGGAGCTATGTTCTGAGCGGGATGACCACCAAAACCAGCTGGGAATGTTAAGGTGCGACATTTGTAATCCGGACGATTTCATGAATTGGTAATACGAAGATTAAATACTACATCCTTTGACGCTTCTTTAAAGACATTTTTTTGTTTCTTTATTAGTATATATTGTATCCTAATTTCATGTATTTCCTTCAAGTGTTTCTTCTTCTTTCAGAAAACATTGTACTTTCCAAATTTACCTTTTAAAAAACGTTTTTTCTTGATAAGAGAGTATAAATAAATTTTTTCAAAGAAAAATAGACTTTTTGTTTGAAGTTGTTTGTTCCAGTTCTGGTCAACTCATGTCAATGCTTGTGTTATAGCGAACTTCTAGAATACTACCATTCCACAGCGAATGTTTGGAATTCGAAGGAAGTTTCTTATAAGACGAGCTTTGATATGAAGAATCAGAATGGAAAAAGCGGTTGTTTGTTTGGTTTTTTTTTTCTCTCGAAGCATTCAAATCAATGAGGATTTCACACAGTCAGGGGTTGCAAACATTATACATGTTGAACATGTGAAAATCACTTGATTTTATTTTAAAAAAAAGAAAAAAAGAAAAGAAACTGTTAAATTCATGTCAATGTTTGTGTTATAGCGAACTTCTAGAATACTACCATTTCATAGCGAATGTTGGGAATTCGAAGGAAGTTCCTTATAAGACGAACTTTGATATGAAGAATCAGAATGGAATTAGCTACATTTTGAACATGTGAAAATCACTTGCTTTTATTTTTAAAAAAAAAAAGAAAAGAAAAGAAACTGTTAAATTCATGTCAATGTTTGTGTTATAGCGAACTTCTAGAATACTACCATTTCATAGCGAATGTTGGGAATTCGAAGGAAGTTCCTTATAAGACGAACTTTGATATGAAGAATCAGAATGGAATTAGCGTTTGTTTGTTTGTATGAAGATCACTAATTTATTGTCATAAATTCGCATGCACACTTCAATTCTCTCATCAATTTGTGATTCAAAACAATTGTAATGATCAATTGTAGCTGTTTCTAAACTCAGAAGTCTTACTGTGGATTTAACAATTTCACCGTAAAAATCATTTCTGATACATTAAAGAAAAAAAGCACTATAGTTAAATTTTAAATACCCTTGACGTAACATCTCCATCTTGCCATTGTTAGGGGGTGGTATAAATCCTCGTTATGTCATTTAACACCTCTCCTCATTTTCAATGTAACTAAATCTCGGTCAGGGTCATATCATATACTAGATCTAGGTCAGGGTGTTCTCTTTCTCCATTGCCTCCCCCCATTGTTCTCCCCCATTGTTCTCCTATTGTTCTCTAACACAATAGACCCCCATTGTTAGGGGGGGGTAAACGTCCTCCTATACTACTTGCAGTGTAGATAAGAATAACAAATGATTGCGTTGAGGCTCCACCGCAAGCGATGGGCTAGTAAAAGAATTTTAATGTTAAAATTTACGATTAAGAAGACAAATTCGTACTTTAACTTTGGTTTCCTTCCTTTTTTCTAAAGCTGATGGGTAACAACGTTTTTTTTTTGAAGAAGCCATTGTGTTCCTTCATAAATGTCCTCGTAAATAAAACAGAAAAGAAAGCCTATTTAAAGTTATAAAATAATGCCTTTTGAAATGGATGAGATTATTTAAAAAAAAAAAAACTTTTTCCCTCAAGCATGACAAGGAGTTTGCAAGACTGCAAAATTGACTTTGTATTGTTGCAGTCCACAAGACGGATTCTGACAATTTTTGAAAAAAGTTCATAAAGCCCCAGAGTTGAATATCGGTGTGTGTCCTGTCCATTAGGACCTGTGGGCCACGTTACTAACGTTTCTTTCCATCATCTGTTTCAATTTCACCCTCGATCCATTTTTTTTTTTTGGTTTTTTAAATCAGTTATGTAAAAATGAAGCTTTAATTAAAACAAGTAAATTCAAAGAATTGTGGTCCCCCGCTTTCGGTGTTTTTGTGGGTGAGATGCTATTTTTATGACATATTGTGTGTAATATGAACATCCTATCATATGTTATTTATGTAGAAAGTAACATTGAAGTTGATTTTTTTGAAGGATGAAAACCCTTATCCTGACCCTTAAAAAGTTATGGCCAAAGTAAAAAGTTTTTTAAAAGTAGGTCAACTCCAAGGTCAAGATCAAAGGGACAAAGTTGTTGATATCCACTGAAAGGTTTTCTAACAAGGATTACATATGTGAGGTATGAAAGCCCTAGCCCTTACTGTTCCAAAGTTATGATCAAAGGTCAAGTTTTTTCATAAGTACGTAATTCTTTAAGGTCAAGGTCAAAAGGTCAAAGTTGTTGATATCCAATGAAAGGACTTGCCACAAAGAATACATATATATGAAATATAAAAGTCCCAGTATCTACCTTCAAAAGTTGTGACCAAAGTTAAAGTTTTTTAAAAAGGGAGTTAAAACTCCAATGTCAAGGTCAAAGGGTAAAAGTTGGTATCCAATGAATGTATGAATTTGTGAAATGACAGTCTATATTACCTGCACAATGGTACTTTAACTGCACGGGGGGATGTTTCAAAAGTATTTCCCGTTTTCCGTTGATTTCTTTAGTGATTTACTAAAATGATAGGGTTTTCTCTCTTCGTTTTCTAAAATAAGTAATGTTTTATGGAAATTCATGTAAATATGAATAATATATATGAAAAATCAGTCAAATAAATTAACTTTAGAAAATTGACTTAGATGGAGGCGAGAAAACATTACAATCTTTCGTAGTTCTTTGCCTACAGATGCTGTGTCAAGATAGTCTCCGTCTAAATCTGAAGTTTCTATTTCGTGCATCAGACTGTCCGTGCCTGAATAATACCTAAATTTCATTCCCATACATTTCTTCAATGAAGTTGTAATGGAATTAGCCTCGACAAATCCAGTATGGTCTGTCCAGTGTAAACGCGCGGGTATGTTAAGGAAGCATATCAATAATTTCTCGGGAAATTTAGACTTTTTGAAGAAAATTAAATTTGATAATTTATCAAGACCGCTGATAAACGTTAATCTTATTAACTATTGCATAGAGATAAAAGAGCGTCTAACTCAAAGACGTGCGCCACCTCAACGTCATCACGTGACTTCTATTTATAGCGAAAAGTTCCTTAATAAAAAAGCAAACAGAACAACAATACCCCGGAGATAAATAATGTATTTGAGTAAATAATATAGTCAAAAAACATCTATTCTTCCTTAAAAGTGCTGCTAGAATCCCACTGTACTGTCAGTAAAATATTTATTATACGCATTCGCACGAAACCTCACCCAATGTTTTCAATTTGATACATATCAACCGAAATTTTTTGTAAAACCATTCTCAACTCGGGATTCTAGCAGCACTTTCCAAATATTTTAGAAGGCAAACTTTCAATC